CTAAATTTAATTAGTGACTGGGCTGACACCTGGCAGATGAAATTTAACATAGACAAATGTAAGGTACTCCATGTAGTGAGCTATTAGTTAAGTTCTCCCCAAGCGAGCTCGATGGGCCGAATGGCCTCCTCTCGTTTGTATAGTTCTTATGTTCTTAAAGGGACAAGATGTGTATAAGCATAGAACAGCGTGCTGTTTATCAGCTATCAGCTAATTGAGTCTGACTGATGTAACGAGTTATACTGCCGGCAAGTCTACTGCACTGATATAAATGTATACATGTGCAAGTACAGTGTGAACAGGTTCCATTTTCTGTGCCTCCCCCTTGTAGGTCTGCCGCGCCCTCCGTGATGTCGGCACAGACAGTGCTGCCTGGCAGCTGCGGGCTCGCCGGCTCATTGGGCCCCAAGCCTCTTTTCCCCTGGGGCCGGTGGACGGCTTTGACTGGCCGGCCGCCTGCCTGGAGATGGAGCAGCTCATGGGCGGCTGGGCCCAGCCTGGGGGGGCAGGGCCAGACGCCGACTGGGACAGGGCAGTCCGAGGGGAGGGCCCCGGGGGCGGGGGTGAGGGGGCCCATCAGGAGGGAGACGGAGGGCCGGGAAACGATGGAGAGGGGCGAGCAGGGCATGGAGCAGGGGAAGCAGTGGAAGACAGAGAACAGGAGATGGGAACAAGGGAGGTGGACGAGGCGGCTGGGGAAATGGAGGGGGAGAGAATGGAAAGAGCCATGGTGGATCTGGGTGAAGGACACGGGCAGGGAGGAGGCGACGTCATTGTAGGGTGTGGCCCCCGCCCAGGTGGCCCCCCCGGCGCCTCCACTGGCCTTGAGCACTTCTGTCTGCCCTCGGTCCACATCGCCGAAGTCAACTGCTTGTTGCTGGTGGGCCCCGAGGGGGGGCTGTGCGCCTCGGGCTCCCGCGACCGCAATGTGATCCTGTGGGACTTGCGGGAGCGGCAGCTACTGCACACGCTGCGGGCGCCGGGTCTCTTCAGCTCGCACCGGGGCTGGGTGTGGTGCCTGGCTGGCCATGGGCCGCTGCTCTGCTCAGGCTCCTTTGACAGCACGGTGCGCCTCTGGGACCTGGAGGCTGGCGGTGCCGAGTGCGGCCTCATCCGGGGCCACGCCGCTGTGCTCTGCCTGTCCTGCCAGGCTGACGTGCTGCTGGCTGGCTCCGTCGACAAGAAGGTCAGCATCTACGACACCAGGGGTTAGTCCGTGCCGTCGCCCCGCCCATTCGCCGTCACCCTCCCGCCGTCGCCTTGTCCGCCCGCCACGCTGTGACCTGGAACGCCGTCTCCTTGCAGCCGCAGAGCCCCTGGTGAAGAGCTTGCATCTCCACGGAAGTGCCGTTCTATGCCTCGCTGCGGATGACAAGTACATCCTGTCTGCAAGCAAAGATGGCAGCCTGGCCGTGTTTGACTGGCAGGCGGGGAAACTACTCCAGAAAATGAAGGTGTGCTCTGGCCGCAGTTGAAGACGTGTCCAGCGGGGGGCAGACATTCACACTCTTAAAGGCACTCAAGAAAAGCTGGCAGACAGACACAGACACACACCCAGACATACAGCTATAAAATAAGGTGGCGTCTCTGTTTAGCCCTGCGTAAGGGCAAGCATCCCTAATGTTAATGTAGTGTTCACTCTGGGAGATGTTTGGTGCTAAACCCCTCCCCCACTCCCCAGTGACTGGTTGGTGCTAAGCCCCTCCCCTCTCCCCCCAGAGGCTGTTTGGTGCTAAGCCCCTCCCCTCTCCCCCCAGAGGCTGTTTGGTGCTAAGCCCCTCCCCCACTCCCCAGTGACCGGTTGGTGCTAAGCCCCTCCCCTACTCCCCAATGACTGGTTGGTGCTAAGCCCCTCCCCTCTCTCCCCAGCTGAAGTCCTACATACGCTCCATGTCGTATGGTGGCCAGGAGGTATGGGCCGGAGACAGCCGTGGCATCCTGCACACCTTCTCTCTGCAGAATGGCTCCCTCAGGGCAGTGTCTCAGTTTGATGTGGGGCACCGCTCCTTGGTGACTGGGGTCCATCGATCCCTCGGGGCCCTCTACACCTGCTCATCGGACCGGACCATCAAGGTACCCTCTGAGGCCTGTCACGACCATCAGAGGTTCTGGATTCAAAGAGCTTAATAGACAGTGAAGCAGACTGGATACTTCATTGAAGGCTTCCAGCACAGAGTAAAAAAAATAATTCCTCTAATCTGCGCCCTCAAGCTTAGCAAGTTTTACCACAATTTCTGAATAAAATGAAAATGTGCAGCTCAGTTTTTCATATGCTGCTGCATTGTTACTTTCAGTTCTATATTCAAACCTGTTTTAAGTGAATTTAAAAGGATAGACTGCATGTGGATGCATGAACACAGACTGCACTTGGAGAAGTGTGTCGATTTTTATAGTGAGTAGATAACTGTAATGTGAGTGTTATGCTCAGATGGCAGTAACTGAAAGGCCATTCAGCATCCTGACCCTGTAGGTCACTGCAGGAGTATCAGTATAATGTTACTAGTTTACTGCAGGAGTATCAGTATGGTGTTACTAGGTGGGAGTATCAGCATGTTACAAGGTGGGAATATTGGTATGATGTTACTAGGGCACTGCGGAAGGATCAATGTAATGCTACAAGGTGGGAGTATTGGTATAATATTACTAGGTCACTGCAGGAGTATCAGTATAAGGTTACTGGCTGTATATATACTGGCTGGACCCCTTGCTGGATTCTTCACTGATACTCGGCCTGCTGTCTGCAGGTGCATCTCCCCTCTGCCCCCCCCAGGACTCTGTGTACGCTGCACCGCCAGTCTGCAGTCAATGGGGTAAGGCCTGCCCACCCCACTCCACACGCACATACCCTCTAGTGAAATTGAGTGAGATGAGCAGGCAGAGGGAAAACACAGTCCCATCCTTCCATGCTGCTCCAGTCACACTCTCCATTTCGGAGGTTAGGCCTCGTACGCTTCAGGGGTCTCGGTCACAAGCCACAGCCGTCACACACTGACCTGCTCACCACCTTACTACCCTGGGTCCCCCTGCAGGGGGGCGGGGCTTATTCCAGGCAGCCCGGGGGACAGGGCGGGGGGACATCGCAGGACACATGCTCACAGACACAAACACACACAAACGGGTTTGTAATTATATCTGTGACTCTCCATTTCTGTAAGAAAAACCCTAACCGCAGCAGTAAGAACGTTAACCCCTACCCAGCCCTAACCTTAACCATAAGTAACCAAACAAAATACTTTTGGCATTTTTAGTTTTTTGATTGCGGTCACAGATTTTTATAAAATTGAGTTTTCCCTTATGGGACTGCAGAAATGGTCCCCACAAGGTCAAAATAACAGGTTTTTATCACATTGTGGGGACATTTTTTCCTCATAATGTAATATATACATTACTTGCTTATACGCATGCACTCAGACACACAGACACACACATAGGTAGGATTCGAACCCCAGACTTAGTGGTATGAGTCAGCAGCTCTGGCCTGTTGTTACTGTTTTTCCACCCCCAATAGTGACATGAGCACTGAGTCATTGGTAGAATCGCGCCCCCCCCCC